TAAATGTGCAGCTTGGCGATTTGATGCCGCCCTTGCTGGCGTATCAGCTTCCCCCAGTGAGTGTTGACTACAGCGTTGGTCGGGCATATACCGAATTAGAGGCCTCCAAGTCGGAGGATGCAACGTTCGTAAGAATCATGGTGTACTCCCATAGTCACGGCTAAGCCTGTCCTTTATGTTGAGGCCTGTTGAGTTCAGAACCCTCACAATGGGAGGCACCACCCTTGGGACATACTCTTGGTTGTGATAGAGTATCTAATGTGAGTGATAGAGTTACTGCTGATAGCCTGTAAAGGACTTTATTAATAGCCCTTTTTGGATGGTGATTTCTGATGCAAAGAACGTAGTTGGTCGTGGTCCCCCCGAACTGCTTCGTTGGAGTCCGTCCATAAACAGCGTTTCATTAGCTCCCCTTGAGTCATGAGCGTCCGGCGCCATCCCTTGTGCTCATTACCAACCACTTCCGTCACGTCGTCCTCTTCCTCCACCGCTTCTATAGCGTCGTCCAGTTCTATCTCTGGCGGGGGCAAGCAAGGGAATATCAAAGACTTGCTTCCTCCAGAGGTCTCGCAGAACCCCGAGAGCAATGCGGTGGTCCTCAACGTGTACGACTTGGACCAGGGCATCGTCCGCCTGAACACCATTCTGGCTATGGTTGGCGTTGGTGGTGCCTTCCATGTAGGCGTCTCTGTCTTCGGTAAGGAGTATTATTACTCTGGTATCGGCCCACCCAATGGCCCTGATGATCTGGATCCCAGTGGTGTTTACTGGCATGAGCCGACTCACCATGACGTCCACGTTTATCGGCAGTCGGTGTATCTGGGTTCGACGGCCCTCACTGAGCGTCGTGTATATGAGCTCGTACGCCGCTTGGGTGAATTCTGGACTATTGGTCGCTACGATCTCCTACGGCGAAACTGTTGTCAGTTCGCGGAGGCTCTAGCCCAAGGCTTGGGGGTGGGTCCAATTCCCAAGGAGTTTTGCGTCTTGTCTCGCAGGCTTTCACTAGCCGCGGACTCCCTAGGTGGAGCCCTTGGTGCTGTGACCGGTGCTGTTGAGTGGATATCGCAACCGACATCCGATAGCCAGGCTGTGCCCGACTCGCAGTTCATGAACAAATCCAACACTTCTCTATCATCTCC